GTCCAGGACTTCCACCACAAACTTCATGGCAAGACCATCTTCTCGAAGATCGACTTGGAGTGTGCTTTCCACCAGATCCCAGTAGCACCTGCAGATACCCAGAAGACAGCCGTCACCACTCCGTTCGGACTCTTCGAGTATACTTTCATGAGTTTTGGCCTACGCAATGCAGCACAGACTTTCCAGAGGTACATGGACCATATGCTTTGCGACCTCGATTTTGTCACCGTCTACAGGTACATAGACGACATCCTCGTCGCATCTTTGACGCCTGCCGAGCATCATCACCACCTACAACTCCTTCTCCAACGCCTGCAGAACAACAACATGAAAGTTCATCCTGCTAAGTGCGTCTTCGGAGCCTCCTCCATCGACTTCCTCGGTCACAGAGTCTCGCCTAGTGGCAACCAACCCCTACCACAGAAGATAACTGCCATTAGGGAGTTCCCCAAACCTGAAACGGCAAAGAAACTCCAAAAATTCCTGGGTTTAGTCAACTACTACCACTGCTTCATTGCCAACGCTGCCACCGTCCTAGTCCCCCTCTACGACCTTCTTAAGGGACTCCCAAAGACGTCTCACAAGCCTCTCGTGTGGACTCAAGAGGCTGTTACAGCATTCACCGCTATCAAACAGCACATCACACACCTTACCCTCCTGGCCACCCCGCACCTAACGCCCAGACCACTCTCACAATAGACGCTTCTTCTACTGCAGTGGGCGCTGTCTTACAGCAGGAGATCAACGGAATTATCATGCCCATTGCATTCTTCGCCACAACGGCTTCAACCACCACACCTCAAGTACAGCGCCTTCGATCGAGAACTGGCCGTATACATGGCTGTCAAGCATTTCCAGCACTTCCTCGAGGCCCGTCAGTTCACCATCTTCACTGATCACAAGCCCCTCGTCCACGCCTTTGCTTCAGCCTCCCAGTCACATACCTGACCTCGCCCTGACATCTGGGGAGTTCTGGCGTCGCGTCAAAAGCCACACAGCAGAGAATCGCCCGGCAGCCCTCTCTCGTTGTATATCAACATTGTTCCCTCATCTCCACCCATTGATTACGGGCAGCTCACGCGGCTCAAGAGATAGACCGAACCTGGCAGCACACAAGACATCTCCTCAGGCCTCACACTCCAAGAACTCCAATGTTGCCGCGTATCCTGTGGGCAGCCTAGACCATCGTGCCTCCACGTCCACCACCGGCGCTGTTTGACCGCATCCATGGACTCAGCCACCGGGTGTATGCGGGCCTCCCAAGCCTCCTCCCGCACAGCGTGTTGTCTGGCCCGGCATCAAGACGATACTAAAAATGGGCGCAGTGCCTGCCGAGTCCTCCAAACTACATGCGTCACCACAGGCTTCATAGAAACCTTCCCTATACCCAAAGGACGTTTCAGTAGTGCACCTCGACATCGTGGGACCTCTTCATCATCCTAGTGCTTCCTACATCACCTCATTGACCGTTTCACCAGGTGGACAGAAGCCATCCCCATGCCCAATGCTACAGCAGAGTCTGCCGTCAGCAGCCTTCATGTCTGGTTGGGTTTCCCATTTGGTCCCTCACCAACGTCATCACTGATCGAGCCCAGTTTGAGTCACAACTCTGGCATAACTCCCACAGTTCCTCGGCACTTCTAGAAACACAACACCACGCCTACCCTCAATCCAGGGCATGGTGGCGATTTCACGGCAGCTGGACGCCTCAAGCAGCGACTCTACAGCTGGACGGTCACGCCCACCCCTAGTGCTCCTCTTCATCTGTACCTCACACAAGGAGACATGGACTGTAGCCCAGCAGATCTCACCTGGGCCGAGCCCATTCGCCTACCGGAGAGTTCTCCTCCCCTCCTGCTGTCGTCATGACTTACTCCAAAGCTACGACAAGCAGTTTCTGCATTCAGAGCTACTGCTCCCGCCAGCCTCCTGGCGCCCTGAACACATCCCTCCTGCACTCCTCACTGCCGGTATGTTTTCGTCAAGCATGATGCTCACCGCAACCCACTGCAACGCCCTCGATGGACCCTTCCGGTTGTTTACCCGTTCAGCGAAGTTCTGACGATTATCCGGAATGCAGAACCGACACGTCCACATGGCCGAGTCAAGCGGCCACTTTACCCATTGGGTTCCCAGCCCACAAGCACCCCCAACAAACTATGCCTGCACCAGTCTACCGCAGATTACCATGCAGCTCACCCGCCCACGACATTTCTGGGCACCCTCTTTCACCCTCAGGTACCCCCTGCTCCTGTCCTGCTGCAGCCGTGGACCCTGCTGCTGTCGTGGACCCTGCTGCTGTCGTGGACCCTGCTGCTGTCGTGGACCTGCTGCTGTCGTGGACCTGCTTGTCGTAGACCCTCCTCCTGACATGGCCCCTGACCCAGTCAACCCAGCCAGGTGACCCTGGGGCGCTGCCCCTGTCGCGACAGAATTACAACAACCATTGCCTGTACAACCTCCTCTAATCCAAAACCCTCCTTCTCCCCGGATCTGTGTCACTAGACGGGTCGTCACCGCAGTAGGCCAAGTCGCACAGTACACCTGCCCAGTATGTATCATTGTGGGACGCAACCCTGCCAACATCCAGTCTCCGTCATGCCGGAGGGAAGTTTGTAGTGGATCCTCCCTACAACTGCCGACTGAGCTCCTGCCGCTTACCAGGCAATCAGCGTACAGCCAGCGTGCCGATAGACCTACTCCCCAGTCGCGGACGCGTACTTAACTCAGGAGGCCATAGCTTCCGACATGCCAGGATCGAGTCTGGCACCTTCGCGTTCTCCTCTGTGATTGGCTCCGCTACGCTTCTCGATTCTGATCTGGCAGAATTGTATAAATCTGGCGTGGCTGACCCAGGGAAGCCATTCTACCGGACCTACTGGACCAGCAAGACCTCTCTACAGCGCCTCACCAGCTCCTCGAAAGCTCCTGCTTAACTGGACCTCTGAGCAAACTACTCATCACCTAGTAACTCCTTAGCACTGCACTGTACAACAATATATACAGAAAACGCATTGTGAGTTTCTATTCTACCTCATTCCTGAGTGTGAGATATCTTACATGCGTTACGTTTGTGAGCCCATACAAAGATAATAGACAACCAAGAGAATTGACAACTGACCACATACGATGCGCTACAGTTTTATATAATGTTTTATCATTTTATGTATCAATTACAAATAACAGTTACATGTGATTGGTTACATAAGAACATAAGAATGTAAGAATGGAAGAAACTGCAGCCGGGCCTATTAGCCCATACTGGGCAGTCCCATACACCCAACCCTTTGCTCATATATCCATCCAACCTATGTTTGAAGCTATCCAGCGTATTCGGAGTTAATGATGATATTTGGTAACTTGTTCCTCGTCACTATTCTATTTCCAAAGCAATGTTTTTCCTATTTCACGCCTAAACCTACATTTGTCTTATTTAAATCCATTGTTGTGGGTTCGCTCCTGGGTGGATAGTTTGAGTACCTGTAATGTCCCTTTGTTCCCTCAACTTCCATTTAGTCACCTCTATCATATCGCCCTTTACTCTCGTCTCTTGAGGGTCCAATTAAGATGCTTTAACCTGTCTCTGTATAAGTACCTCAATTATTAGCCATTTTATATAAAATATGTTGTTAATGGATGGTTGCATACAGTACTCTCATTTACAGGTTGATCAGTAGTTTAGCCTCACAGAGGTCCCTCTCTTATTATCACTGTGAGGTTGATGCATAGCAAGGCACTATAGAACAGAGAGATAATTTATTATTATTAAACACCAAACCCATGAAAATTAGTACATAGGAACATATAAAATTTTATTTTAAGGCAATGTATTTGGAGACCTCTGCATCTTGCTAAATAATGTTAGCAATTGCAGGGGACAGCCTCATATTTCATTAGAACCTCACCTTCCCCCCTCCGGACTGTGGCAGTTAAATTTTGTTTCATAATATTCCATTAACTATGACATTTATACAGTAAATATCTATACAAAGTTTCACTTGAAGATTCTCTGAGGTTATAAACATGGCAGTTGAAGTATTATGAGTTTGCATAATGTTGTTCTATCATTTTCTTGTTTGTTGTCAGCTTAAAACAACTTATCATTTTACTCTTGACATGGTCTGCAACGTTAATGCTTTATATGTCTTTGTTTATAATATGTAGTATAGGAGTTTATCATGTTATACACCTAACTAGCATGTAGCTTCTACGCAGGGTCAAGCATAGAGGTTTGCATATGTCTTTATAATGATTTGAGTGATTATTGTACCATGATATTCGCTTACAAGTATATTGAAAGAATATTTTAGTTAGTCTTCACTGATATTAGTGATACAAATTTAGAAATAGCAATAACTTATATGCTGCTCAGGTGTATAAAGTGAAAAGTGCTCATACTACATTAATTAAAAGAGGAGAGCAGTACAATTACTATATAAATGAAGAAGCACGAAAGTATCAATTTAGCTGGACCATGTATTGAGTAAAATTAATAAAGTTATTTAAAAGTCTGGTCCCAGGCTGGCATACAATGAAAACTTTGTTGAAATACTGCTTCCGAGAACAATAATATTGCAGTTCTGAAGAACAAGCGGTAAGAGCTTCCCAGCAGCTCTTTACACTGGCTAGGGGAAGAGGCGGAGATGATTATGCATTCCAGTTTATGAATGAGCACGAGCTGAACATGGTCATGCATGCACTATGTAACATCTGATTCATAAGCTCACAACATGTGGGCAACGTCAGCTTTTTATCACTTTCTGAGGGCTAGAGTTGCTTGTTGGGAGGACAATCATCAGATTATTACTCTAGCTTGTCTAGGTTATCACTTCCCTGGGTTCCTGAGCATGCGGTCATATCCTGAGTCATTCTATAAAGACATAGGTTATTTTGTCCCAAAACAAAGAGAGAATAAAGAAAAATAAAATAAAGAGAATATAAAACAACTGAGTAATAACAGATATTCCATTAAGTACTCTGATTAATATTTGATAGTTTACCTGTGCAGATTTGAGAGCCAATTTAATTTCCACATCAGATGCTTTTGATCCCAGCCAAGGAAGACTTGGTTCCCATCATCTAGAATCATCGTGTCATCATCTGCAAGGTCATCCTAATTGGAAAAAAAAAAAATATATTTTTAATAAGTCTCTTCTAGTTTAACTCTTCATTATATATATATATATATATATATATATATATATATATATATATATATATATATATATATATATATATATATATATATATATATATATATATATATATATATATATATCTTGATAAAATCACTGGGAAAATGGAAACAACGGAGCACCTTAGCTTCGTCTTTATTCAAGACATCTTCAGAGGCAACTGACTACATGGACAGAGAGAGCAAATATACAGGGTGACCTTAAAACATGAGGTCAGGTCATAATGATGTCATCCACTAATCCCCCACACCAACACACACGTGGGAGCTTAAGAAGGGGTTGACGTGACTAGTCAGGTCAGGTCAAAACAAGGGACCCACAAAATAACTATCATACATCTAGATCAGAGGTTTTCAAAGCTTTTTAACTTGGGCCATGACAAATAAATTTATGTAACATATTATCAGTTTGAACTGATAAATATATATATATATATATATATATATATATATATATATATATATATATATATATATATATATATATATATATATATA